TCGGCGAGCGGGGAGTTTGGGGAAACCTGTGGGTCTCTCCACTGCGCGCCCCGGGAGGGTCAGGCCTGGGTCTGGCCCCTTAAGTCCTCCTCCCCCGCGAATGCTCCCGGCCCACTCGCCCGTGACCGAATAAACGCGGCCGAGCCGGTGCTGACTCCGGGGCTGGTTGCTTCGTAAATACATTTCTAATTTCTGCTCGGGGTCCGTCCACTTTAGGGTCTGGCTGCGCTCACTGCAGGCCCACCGCCCAGCCCGGTGCCCTGCGGGGGCGTCCGCGCTTAGAATTCTGTCCACACGCTGCCAGATCTCGGGTGGGAGGAGCGGTGCGAGATTAATTTACGTGCAATAATAGGATTTAATACACGGCCTGGGAGGTGAGACCTTCTCCACTAACCTGCACGTAGCCAGGCAGGAGACGGTACTCCCTGAGGCAGGAGGGGTCCCAGAGGCACCCACTTAGAAGAGGCACGGTCCACGCCCCCCACTCCACCCCAATTCCTGGTTCCTAATGTGCCCGAGGATGGAGCTCAGTCCTGCAGAGACCAGGGGTTTCAAACTGCAACCTGCACCCCTAAGTAAGTCCCAGAACCAATGTAGTGGCTCCCTCTCAACATTAAAAAAAAAAAGAAATAGACACAACAGAGCGTATCAAACTGCAAAGATCATAAGGATAAGTAAGGCCCTGGTCGGTTTGGCTCAGTGGAGAGAGCGTTGACTTGTGGACCAAAGGGTCCCGGGTTCGATTCCAGTCAAGGGAACATACCAGGCTCTCCCCGGAAGCAACCAATCCATGTGTTTCTCTCACATCGATATTTCTTTCCCTCTCTCATCCACTCTCCCTAAAAAATTAATGGAAAAATAATCTCGGATGAGGATTAACAACAACAAAAAAAGAAAAGGAGAAGCCCTGACCGGTTTGGCTCAGTGGATAGAGCATCGGCCTGCGGACTGAAAGGTCCCAGGTTCGATTCCGGTCAAGGGCATGTACCTGGGTTGCGGGCACATCCCCAGTGGTGGGTGTGCAGGAGGCAGCTGATCCATGTTTCTCTCTCATCGATGTTTCTGACTATCCCTCTCCCTTCCTCTCTATAAAAAATCAATAAAATAAAATTAAAAAACAAGTAAGCTTTGGGAAACAGCTCAACTTTTCCTACGAGCGCCCAGGACCACAGTCAGATGTAATTCTTCCTGTTGTTCCACTTGAAAGTAGTTCCCAAACCCCCGCTCCTCATTTCCATGGCAGTGGGGACTGCGGCCCCAGGAATGAGCTGCCATCCTGGGAAAGTTCCTCTTCATCCCCGGCCAACACGAGCTTCCGCGGAGCCAACACCTTTTGCTCCCACCCCACCCCCCAGGGCCGGCCACATCCTGGGCCCCGCAGGGTGGCTGTCGGGGTGGGCGCAGCATTCACATGGTCCCCGCTGTCCTCTCTTGCAGCCAAACTTCCCCGTGTGCCATGACTTCTGCACCTCCACCATCCTGACACCCGTCTATGGGCAAGGACCAGGCGACAGGGGCTCCCAAGAAAAAAACAACAAAAAAGAAAAAAACGCCGAAACCGGTTTGGCTCAGTGGATAGAGCGTCGGCCTGCGGACTGAAAGGTCCCGGGTTCGATTCCGGTCAATGGCATGTACCTGGGTTGCGCGCACATCTCCGGTGGG